ATTCACGTGCTACAAGCCCTGCTTCTGTCTAGCTATTTGTTGCACGTGATTTTTTTTACCGCGCCTATTGATGAACCAGCACAATGATGGAGAAATAAAGTACATTAGCTATTTGTAATTTTATCTTGGACAAAGACATTGGAAATTTATTTAAATGTATAACAATAGTTTGGCTATTAGTTTTATCAATATTTTTAGCGATGTTTTATAGTGATTTTTGTTTGAAACTATTTTTTTTCTTTGATGTGAAAAGGGCGGGATGACTACTAGTAATAAAAAATATAATTTTTATATTTATCATTAAAAATTATACCATGTCTGTAACACATTCTTAATTAACAATTTTCTTTACGTTTAGAGAATTAACGAGCAATAGTTTTTTAAGTAGTATGAAGCGATTTATTTAATGAACTGAAGATAAATTTGCCAAAAAATATAGATGAACTATTTTTGTTTTATCCAGAATGGATCAGATACCCAGGCTATCAGAGACTGTTTACGTAGCTATGACTGACATAGTAGGTACGCCTAAACAAGTGTCCATAAGACGAGAAACGTATGATATTGCTGAGATTATAAAAAATTCAATAGAAAAAAGCACCGAAGAATTGCAATTACCAGTGGAAGTCAAAGAGAAGGTTTTGATCAGTCGTTGGCATCGGACATAGACTCAATGCTCTGGCTGACTGATCATCAAGTTATTTGGGATTTACATCTTGCAAATCAATACGACACAGAAAGGTGTACTCTGATTCTGATGGAGTGTTCTGAGGAGCGTCCTGGATTTGCTTTGTTACAGTTACTGACTCCCACTAAAAAATCTCTTGTTAGTCGATCTGTTGTTAGAATAAATAGTGGATTATATATATCAAGTTCAAAATATAGAGAAAGCATGACGACATTACTTATAGGAGGTTTAATTCAACATGGACCTTGTGCACAAGGAAAGATTGATAAGACAGAATATGATATTGCACATTCGTTTGTTTGTAAAATTTGGCCATCCATTGCAAGTTCTTTTACTCTGAAATGTGAGTTTCAAAAATGGCCACCAAGTCATGTTTTAAGAGATATCATCCACTCAGGTTGTCATGTTGTACCAATAGGATTCAAAGGATCACCACAGGAAGATTGTGAATGGAGGATTTCTTTCTCTGTAGCTGAACAGAAACTTGTATGTTGTATGAATCACACACAGTTCATGTGCTATGGATTACTGAAAGTGTTTCTAAAAGAGGCCCTGACAGTAAAAGATATAAATGGACAGCCCCTTCTTTGCTCGTATTTCATGAAAACAGTTTTATTCTGGGTTATTCAAAATAATACAGTCAAAAACTGGAACCCATCAAGTTTGCTTTCGGGATTTTGGTTGTGTTTCAAGTTTTTATTGTCATGTGTGTATGGTGGTTATCTTCCAAACTTTTTCATTCCTCAGAACAACATGTTCATCACAAAGGTATCTGGATATTCCCAGCAGTTGTTGTATGGACGGCTTCTTGAGATGTACAGTCTAGGGACTGCATGCTTATTACACTGTCAATCACTCAGAGAAAGCTTAACTCTAGCAATCTGCCATAGAGAATATGTACCTAATACTGTGGAATCAGATAGAACATCTGAATTCTTCATGGATTGGGAGCTTTTTTGTCAAATTTGTTGGCAAGATAGGGTCGAGACTCCCTGTTATATGTTTAATACCAAGAAATGTTTTACTTCCCTGCAAAATGCTGTTAAATATTTACATTGCCAAAACTTAAGTCCAATACCGCGTGTTGCTGTCAGAAAATATATATCTTCAAAAATCAGATATACTGTTTATCATATATACAATACATCCAAAAACAATCACAATAAAGACAAACTGAGAACAATGTATGCTTGTTTGAAACTGTTACATGTGAGCACAGAAATGGGATGTTTTTCTGACAGGATTTATTTAGCTTACCTGCTGTACGCAGTAGGTAAAACTAAAAATGCAATTAAAAATCTTACCATGATAAAAACCAGTAATATGCAGTCGTATATTATGTACGTGTATCATGATGTAGATGAACATAAGTATATTGAAGAGGTAGGGGGACTCCCACTGAGTGAAAAAATGAAAAGAGCTGTAGCTATGTTCTTTAATTTAGAAACACATATGCTACTGACAAATGATTTACAATTAGAGTTAATAGTGTCAAAATTTCAAGGTATTATTGTACCCCTACATGTCATGACACTTATGTTGTTAGTGTTGTGTTATAGTGGTAACAAGCAAAAGCAATCAGAAGCCCTGTATGAGCTATTCATCCATCTCCATCACGACAAAGGACATTATATTTCTGAACCATTAAGAGATATATCCTGGCAGATTCTCGGAATCTGTCAACAGATCTGTGGGGACCATCAGTGTGCAATTTTGTCTTATCAAAATTCTCTTAACCAAATGCCATACCATGGTATACAAGAAGCAACATGTTATAGAATGCGAGATGCTCAGAACAAAATCCATTTATCATAAGTTACGGAATAAAATATGTTTAAGAAACTGAGAATCTTTGCTCGGATGGGCATCAGTATTCAGTAAAAGAATATGACAAAGAAGTATAATGGCCACATCACTCACTCAATTTTTTTTTGATTCTCCCCTCATGCAAAGATTGGTTCTTCAACTGATTAATTCAGAATCCCCACTTCCCAAGGATGCTTTGTGCTGATTTGATTAAAAGTGGCTCAGCTGCCCTTAAATGACGTCAAAAATGTGAAAGGTATACAAAAACAACGGACGGACAACAGCTGGTTTCAGCTCAGGAGTGCTAAAAATAAGCACTCACTGTTATAGCCTAATGGTGAAGCATTGGTAAAAATTAGTGTTACCTCATATAGAGATGGTGAAAAGTCTACATGTGGGAAAAATTTTCAACTAAGATCTAAACCAACTAGTGCTAATTGTAACGGGGACCGTTACAGATGTTCCCCAAACGCTCCCCAACTCCCTTTTGGTGCCATATTCCCTGTAATCTCTATTTAGATTTAATCAAAGTCTTCCCAGAAAAATACAATATATATTTAAAAATAGGCATTGCAGGCGTGTTCATGTGCGTAACGACCATATTATCTTGTCTACACTATCTAAAATTTTAATATACTTAATATCAAAGCATTTAATCCAAAAGTATTAAAAAATACACTCATTCGAGTGTATTTTTAATTTTACTCATTTCACGTGCAAGCACAAGTACGTGCATAATGACTACACCTTCTTTTAGGAGTCCCTTATATTTATCTATGTTCCCAATCCCATCCTGTTTGGTTGAAAAACAAAGGAGTTATAGCCATTTGAAGTTTCAGCCAATCAGATTGCAGCACATATGCATGCGCGTGATTTCATAAATTTTTATCTTTATCGTATTGAAGGGTATCTAAATGAATGACTATATTTTAAAATTCAAAACATTTCGTTAAAAAACAAAGGAGATAAAGCCATATAAAGTTTCAGCCAATCAGATTGCAGCACACGTGCATGCGCGTGATTTCATGATTTTTTTTCTGTATCATATTTAAGGATATCCTAATGCATGACTATGTTTTGAATTTTAAAGCATTTCGTCAAAAAACAAAGAAGATATAGCCATTTAAAGTTTCAGCCAATCAGATTGCAGCATGCGCGCATGCGCATGCTTTCATGAAAATTTTTATATATCATGCTGTAGATCTTCATAATGTAGGACTATGTTCAAAATTTCAAAAGATTATGACAAGAAACAAGAAAGATATTGAGACTTTAGTTTCAGCCAATCAGAGCGAAGCGCACGTGCATGCGCGTGAGATCTTGCTATTTTGACCATGCCATCTTGTCTATACTACTAATGTATCCTTATATTATGAGTTTAAAAAAATTCATCAAAAAAAAGAAAAGTTATAGCAATAGACATGATATAGGTCATTTCTCGTGTTGCACGTGCGCGCTCTTGCAAGCACGTGCGCGCAAAATGACCTTCGTTGGGCAAATCTACATAACATGTCTACTAACCCTAAAAACATTTTACCTTAGTCGGATGTGTAGTTTACAAGATCACTCGTGGACAAAATTTTCCCAGGAATAATAATAATAATAACTAGATGCGTTCTTGTTGCTAAAGCAACAAGTGGTCTTCCGACCGACATTTTTGTTAGAGTTCTATGCTGCGTAATCCCATGAAATAGATTTCAGGATGTATTTTTTTGTTTACGTTTATTCACAGCAGTCTCTCAACATACATCACGATCATTACATGTATTCCTCAAAATGTATAAGAAAATAGCTTTTAAAAATCGGCAAAATATTCCATACATGTTACAAAAGAGATAAAAGTCATTTGCAACTGAAAAAAGACATAAGCAAAGAAACATTTTTGCATCGCCTCCAGCGGGATTCGAACCCCCAACAGTGCGACAAAGTTTGGTTCGGTCATATCTTTTCAATATATACACACATAAAGATGCTGAACACATATTTAGAATTCTCATAAGACACACTATAAAACCTGTAAATCCTAAAGAAAAATATTGAAAAACAAAAAAAGTTGAGAAACGGGACTTTTTGAATTCACTTCCGTTTGCAACCGGAAGTGCCGACGACGAAAAATAAAGGTCGTTGCCCATAACAGAGTTCGATGTTCTATCACCTCAGTGAGTTTCACTTTCATATCTTTAGCCGTTCTCGAGAAAACTCCTGGACAAAATGCCTTTTTAAAAATACAAAAATCCCCAAAAATCGCGAAAGGAAGTGAATTTTGAAAAAATGAAAAACACGTCTGGAGATATTCTCATGATGCATCATCCCTGTAAAAATCTCCAAAATCCGTCCACGCACAGCTGAGATATCGCCCTAACTATGAAAAAAAGAATAATAATAATAATAATAAAAAACAGACGAATAACAGTAAGGTCTTCCGAAGGAAGTCGGAAGACCTTAATAATAAGAAACAGAGTAAAAACAATATGTTCCCCAACTTCGTTTGGGGAACATAATAAACAATAAATCAATCATGCATTTATTGCTTAAATTTTACGTCAGAATATCTTAACTCTACAAATTTAACAAAGAAAATGAGCAGAAAATGAGGATTTTTTTCACAAACTTGATAAAAACATGGACAGAGAACCTTGTTTATTTTTCGTCTTCTCTTTGGCAAGCATCTTACTCAACTGCTGGTGGCGATTTTTACCCGTAAGTCTCTGACCTAATTTCCCAGATTGTTGTGATTTCACTTTTGCTTTTGTAACACAAGAGTTTCTATTTTGTATTTGATGAATTGTGGTCTTGTGTGTATTTTTGGTCCCAGAGTCAGTCTCCTTTGCTTGTATTTGACTGAAAAAGAAATATAATTACATTTAAGACAATGTACAAATTACCATATTTCTTGCAAGTGAATATATTGGTAAATGTAACTTGAAGCATGCATTGTTCTTTATGACATATCTGCCAAAATACATGTATTTGATGAAATAAGACGAAGTGATGTTAATGTTTACTTAGGGAATAAAGAGTATTCAATTGAAATTAGTGGGTATATGTAAATCTTCAAACCTTAGATAAACACAAACTTATGTATCTTTTGAACTTGTGAATTATGTTATCCTTTCTTTCTGCATTGCAGTGAGACATTGATCAGATAGTATATACACTGTATACTCAGTATACAAATTGAAAAATACACTGTATCAGTTCATACTTGCTGTACATCTTGTAAACTTCATGAAACTATGCAAAAAGTCTACATCTACTGCATCCTTGTAAATGTAGACAATGTACAGTCATGTATTATTTTGATGTTTAAAATATTATTTCATTTCATCAATTTGCATCTTTGTTTTATGATCAGTTTATCACAAAGAAAAAGTCACATTTAATAATTTAGCAAAATAAGGTTTTGAATATTACTGAAAATGCACTGTTTCTTTGGATTTTAATATGAAATACAACAGAAATTGTTATATACTTGTTATACATTTGTATATTAATATAAATATTTGTCAATATTAATGTGAAAAGCCCAACAGTTTTAATCAATATATTGACTATTTAAATTCTGATAACCTGTTTTAAATGCAAATAGCAAGCTAGTTTACCAAAAATGTGAATTACATATTGCAGCCAGGAAGCAAAAATGATCAAAATCAACTAAACTTCACATTTATGTAGCAAATATGAAAGTAATATGAGCTGCATTTTGTAAAATTTTTTTTTGCTGTTAAAATATGTTATTATGATAAATTCGTACGTAATAGTGATAATTTCTATACATGATATTATTTACCTTAAATCAACCTTGTCTTTTCCTGCAACCAAATTTTTTAATTGTTTCTTTTTCAGCCTTTTCTTTTGTTTCTTTGTTAATTTTTTCTCTTCAATTTCCATGGCTTCTGACTGTTGTACTGTAGATGCTGAGGAAGTATATATTAAGACATTTTAATTATACACAAATATGTGTATTTATTATATTCTCAACTGTGAAATACTGTAATTTATTTATTGAATAAAAGTGATATTTTTCTACAGTGCAAAGGAATACAAACATCAAAGTGATATATGTACCAGAGTGTATGAATATCAAATTAGCTGCAAAAAATCTTGATTCTCCTTCCTTCTACATAAAAGTTTCTAAAAATACTCCTTGGTCTTATAAAATACAGAGCAAAAATAAATTGTACTGACAATTACATCCTCTGACAAAGTTTCCCCAAATATTTTCTTGAATTCCATGTTTTCAATTTTTTCATTTTTATAATCCTTAAGTATGATATTACTGAAATGTATTGAAATACGCCTAGTGCAACAGTTTTTGTTTTGCAGTTTGGGATGATTGCAAATGCTTCCGACAAAATAAACTTTTTTCCGCATTTTGCTGGTATGCAATATCATATTATTTGTCATCAGACTGTAATATACTGGACTATTGATAGAATTCTTAAGTTAGTTACTTTAGAATCTGTAACAGTCTTTTTTAATGTGTAGTGAAGTCTGAATGTTGAAATGCATTTAAAATATGCATCCTATAAATGTGTGTTCACCCTGGTAATTTATGCATAAATTACACATGAGGTTCCTTTGAAAAAAATTTGAACCATACATTATCTGATAAATATACCTGTTTAGTTTTTTAAGGTATGATAAACAACTGTATTAATGTTAACTATAGTCTATGAGCAAAAATGCATATTTATCAAAAAACTATTTCTACTATATATTCAAAGACTGATAGACTTGAAATAAGCATTCAAAAAACTTCATCAAGTAATACCTAATGAAAACATGTAGTTATTCATGTGCAAACCATAGCTACATATACCAGTAATCAAATATAGAAAACATTATGAAATACGGAAATTACTTGAGAAAAATTCGTTCATTAAAAGCAATTGTTCTTTTTGCTTTTTTGTGAACATGCAAAAGTAAATAAAACACAGTATCTATTAGCTGCATAAGTTATGAGGAAATTAACTGAATTTAAGATTCAGATTCAGAGAAACCCTTTATCTAATCTATGCTCTAAGTATCTAATATTTGAGTATGTTTTGAGTTGTTCACCTGGTTTTAATGATCTGACTCGTTTCGTCTGAGATGCTCTAGTCTGGGCAGGGAATTTGCTTGTTTTGCTGCATTGCAAACATGTTTTAACCTAGAAAAGAAAACCATAAATGAAACACAAAGTTATTATTGAAGCTGCACATGTATTTAGTTTTCAATGTTTTATATAAATAGGAAAATGGTAATCTAATCAGATTTTGTTTAAAGATAGCACAGTGCAACAAATTTAAAATACAAATGCTTGTCATTTTTTCCATATAAGAATTTATCACATATAAAATCAAGAATTTAACTCTTTACTGCTATTGAAAAATCTTCAACACAGTTCTGCAGTATTGAGTAAAGTCTATACAGTTGTATTGTACTTACCACCACATTTTTACTACTGAGATATCTTTTAACCAAATTCTGCTGATATTTGCCTAAGGACTCTGGATTATCTTTATGCCTCTCCAGTAATCTCTTCAGATTTTTACTCAGCGTCAGCTTAGGACGGAATCTTGTTCTACAGCTGTCGAGAGTGAACACACTGCCACAGTAAACACAGTGTGTGGAAAAAATGTCTGGTTCTGTAAAGATAAACAGGACTAGATTGTGACTGATTTTATATCCTACTTAGAATTAATCACATCTAATTCATTGGGTAATGTTGGTGGGAAAGCAAACTTTTACCTATTGTGGGGACAAAATTTTGTGGGTTACTTGTAAATACGATGATTTAATGAATCAATATGTTAACAAAATAAATGTTCAAGAGAATGTAAATTTGTGAGTAAGGATGACCCACCAAATCCACGAACATTGATGATTCTACAGTACCCAGGGAACAGATTTGGGTAATCTTGACTAGCATTATACTGCATATACACTTCATTATTCTTAATTATCTTTTTTAAAACAATAATAACTCTCAAACATACTCAGAAAACAGTTCTGTGTAATCATGACTAAGCATTATACTGCATACAACTCATTTTATCTTTTTTTTTTAAATTAACCACAATCATACTCAGCTAGGGTACAGTTTTGTGCAATCAGGACTAGCATTACATGTACACTGCATGCGATATATTTAACATGTTTAATATCCTAAAGTTATTCAGAAACAAACTTGAGGAACATTTTTGTGCCATCATGACTAGCATTTATTTATATACTGCATATGATTTATTTTCTCTTTTTGAAAAAATAATCACAAACACAGTAAAGGATCATTTTTGAGCAATAATGACTGGAATTTTACTGCATGCAACTTATTTCATCATATTTAATATTAATCACAAACATTATCAAGGGACAATTTTGGAGCAATCATGATTTAGCACACAAAGAAATGCACTAATGATGCAGAAGTGTAAATCATGCTAAAATAAGTAGCTAACTACTGTATACAGGGAAATTTTCGCCCCCGTTTTATTTTCGCCCCTTTCGCCCAAACCTCATTTGGGCGAATTTAAAACGGGGCGAATCATAACAATACAGTATAATTAATTAGACAAAACTATGACTGGGCGAATTCAAAACTGGGCAAAATTGTTTGCAAGCATGAAAGGGCAAAAATAACACGGGGCGAAAATAACCTTGTATACAGTAGTATGCAAAATATGCTAAAGAGACAGGTTTTTTTAGCTTTATGATAATCTTTCATAGATTATTATCATGTAATGAACCTATCACATTGAGAAGGAATGTTGCCCAATACACATCAGAACTGAAACTTTGATCACGAGACTTCAGGCGTGATTGTTCATCAAATAATAATTGTCACAGGCTTTCTGAAGTGAGATTATTTCCATCCCAAGGAAAATATTAAATTGAACTAAATATATATTTTGCTTCATTAATAGCTTGATCTGCTTTTATGGTAAGTATTTTTGTTTGTTGTTTAAATACCGCCCCAGGCCCTTTTGAGAATTTCAAACTCATATTTAAATTTCACCACTTATGGGTGGAAGGTTGCAAATTCATACCTACATGTAATTCAGGGCAAATGAGCAGTAAGGGTTCTTTTTTGTACCAACACCCTCTGTGACATATGGGAGCTAAATGGACGGGTCTTGACACCTCTCATGCCACAGTGGATTAAAAAAAAAGTTCCTTAGTCTACAACTCTAGAACTAGATAGAATGTTCTATCGTTAAAATGATATTGTCCTACGGACCTGGTTTAACGATGGAATTCGTTCCGTGTATTCGTAATGTAGCAAAAAGAAACATGGGCGATAACTCGCATAGTGCATTTACTAGGAACAATCTAGAGAGTTCCGAATGTAAACATGGCAGGTAATTTGAATTGAGAGAAAAACGTTGAGAAAATTAATTGGATTTTCGTATTTATATGGATTATTTTTTGGGATAAAAGGCATAAGCAATCTCAAACATAGGTAATCAGAGATTACAGAGCTCACCTCAACGAATGTTGTCTTTAAGTAAGGCAAAGTCACACAATTAACCAACAAAAAGTATACATTCCAAAAATGAAAATATTTTTAAAAGCAATTTTGATCTGATACTTTGAAATAGACCTACATAAAAAATTTAAACTACTTCTTCTTCATGAAAATGTAATGAAAATCCAGCATCTGAAGCAAATTTGAGAGTTTTCATCTCTTGATGCAGCATTTGTGAAAGTTTGGTTTATACAATGTTATATAAGCCTTATAGTTTTTGGTAATAGACCTGCAACCATAACTTTTACCTTGTATATTATCTGAAAAATGTATGTCCAATTCAGCATCCGAAGCAAGTCCATTAGTGTGCATCCTTAGATGTATCATCCATGCAAGTTTGCTCATTATAGGGCTCATAGTTTATTGGAAATGAAACATGCATTAAAACTAACATTTTCACTCATCCACAAAAAGTAGGTCAGATTAAGCTTCCGAAGCAAGCCTGGAAGTATGCATCCTTAGATGTATCATCTATGCAAGACTGGTCATTAAAGAACTCATAGTTCCTTGGAAATGAAACCTGCACCAAAAACTTTTAACTATTCACTCAACCGGAAAATGTAGGTCAGATTCAGCATCCGAAGCAAGCCTGGTAGTGTGCATCCTTAGACGTATCATCCATGCAAGTTTGGTCAACATAGGGCTTAAAGTTACTTGCAAATGAAACCTGCACCAAAAACATTAACCTGTTCGCTCAACTGGAAAATGTAGGTCAGATTCAGCATCCGAAGCAAGCACGGTAGTATGCATCCTTAGATGTATCATCCATGCAAGTTTGGTCAACATAGGGCTTATAGTTACTTTGAAATGAAACCTGCACCAAAAACTTTAACCTGTTCACTCAACTGGAAAATGTAGGTCAGATTCAGCATCCAAAGCAAGCCCGGTAGTATGCATCCTTAGATGTATCATCCATGCAAGTTTGGTCAACATAGGGCTTATAGTTACTTGGAAATGAAACCTGCACCAAAAACTTTAACCTGTTCACTCAACCAGAAAATGTAGGTCAGATTCAGCATCCAAAGCAAGCCCGGTAGTATGCATCCTTAGATGTATCATCCATGCAAGTTTGGTCAACATAGGGCTTATAGTTACTTGGAAATGAAACCTGCACCAAAAACTTTAACCTGTTCACTCAACCGGAAAATGTAGGTCAGATTCAGCATCCGAAGCAAGCCCGGTAGTATGCATCCTTAGATGTATCATCCATGCAAGTTTGGTCAACATAGGGCTTATAGTTACTTGCAAATGAAACCTGCACCAAAAACTTTAACCTGTTCACTCAACCGGAAAATGTAGGTCAGATTCAGCATCCGAAGCAAGCCCGGTAGTATGCATCCTTAGATGTATCATCCATGCAAGTTTGGTCAACATAGGGCTTATAGTTACTTGCAAATGAAACCTGCACCAAAAACTTTAACCTGTTCACTCAACCAGAAAATGTAGGTCAGATTCAGCATCCAAAGCAAGCCCGGTAGTATGCATCCTTAGATGTATATCCATGCAAGTTTGGTCAACATAGGGCTTATAGTTACTTGGAAATGAAACCTGCACCAAAAACTTTAACCTGTTCACTCAACCGGAAAATGTAGGTCAGATTCAGCATCCGAAGCAAGCCCGGTAGTATGCATCCTTAGATGTATCATCCATGCAAGTTTGGTCAACATAGGGCTTATAGTTACTTGGAAATGAAACCTGCACCAAAAACTTTAACCTGTTCACTCAACCGGAAATTTTATGTAGGTCAGATTCAGCATCCGAAGCAAGCCCGGTAGTATGCATCCTTAGATGTATCATCCATGCAAGTTTGGTCAACATAGGGCTTATAGTTACTTGCAAATGAAACCTGCACCAAAAACTTTAACCTGTTCACTCAACCGGAAAATGTAGGTCAGATTCAGCATCCGAAGCAAGCCCGGTAGTATGCATCCTTAGATGTATCATCCATGCAAGTTTGGTCAACATAGGGCTTATAGTTACTTGGAAATGAAACCTACACCAAAAACTTTAACCTGTTCACTCAACCGGAAAATGTAGGTCAGATTCAGCATCCGAAGCAAGCCCGGTAGTATGCATCCTTAGATGTATCATCCATGCAAGTTTGGTCAACATAGGGCTTATAGTTACTTGGAAATGAAACCTGCACCAAAAACTTTAACCTGTTCACTCAACCGGAAAATGTAGGTCAGATTCAGCATCCGAAGCAATCCCGGTAGTATGCATCCTTAGATGTATCATCCATGCAAGTTTGGTCAACATAGGCCTGATAGTTACTTGGAAATGAAACCCACACCAAAAACTGCACCAAAAATGTTAACCTGCTCCATAAACATTAACCTGGTAATTCCTTTGTTGAAATTGCAGCATCTGAAACTTTGTCTGGTACTATAAAACACACTAAAACCATTTTCCATGCATGTCTAATCAGTATAGGACACAGAAGTAATTACAAAGAAAACTGCTCCAAAAAACTTAACCTTAACCTGGGACGCCGACACCGACGCCGAGGGTATCAGGCATAAGCTCCCCCCAACTTCGTTGAGGTGAGCTAAAAAGGTTTGTTTTGATTATTTTGGTAGTTATTCCCAGTGCAAATCATTTTATATTCTTCAAAATCGTTTGACATTTCGGAGCGGATCCGCTCCAATTTGCTACAATGCAAGTATATGGGACGTATTCTAACTGTGGTGAGGGCTTGTACCGAGACACAGTTAGATTATTCTAACTACTCTAGAACAGACACTCTAACCACTGTGCATGCTGATGATGGTGTGTTAATTTTTGGCTTTTTTATGAATATGTAAGTAGGATTTTATGATAAACAGAGGGAAAAAGCTTAGAATGGCCTTATCTGTCTAAAATCTAGTAATAATTTACATGTACATATAAAACATGAGCATAGTTTGTTAGAAATACCTTTGCTGTTATTAGTTGATAGTTCTATGGCTTTTAATCTGAAAGGAACACAAATTCACAGATTAATAGTACATAATAATTCTTGGAATAATTGAAAATTGTCTCTTTACCCTGTCATGTATTTAGTAATAATTCATCTTTGAAAAGGTTAAGGAAAATCACTTTATTTAGCTATATAGCCAAATCTACCTATCCTGGTGTATTGTATTTTCGACCTATTTAGATATTATTTATTAATTTACTGCAAACTTTATAGAATTTAAGAAAATATGGGCTAAAAATGTTAGCATATGTGTCTATAAATAAAATGATATAACCAATATTGCAGTTTTGTGTTTAATTTATTTATATGCCATAATATGGAGAGGTTGCAGTTTTCCTTACAGAAATATTAGCGTCTTGTGTTTTCGACCTAAATATAGAATTAACGCCCAATCAATAATGGCTATAAATATCCATTCGATATTCCAAACAAAAAAAATAATATTGTCTGTCTTTCAAAGAAATATTAAACAACTTGCATATTTTGTTTGCAAATAAATTTATTCGTTGGTTGAAGCCATCTTTCAGTATCTGTGCATTTCCATAAAAAAATCAATGAAATTACGTTGCATTTTTCAGTGAAAATCTGTAAGAAAGTGCCCATATTTAAGGAAGAAAAAAATTCGTTTGATCCACCCATTCATTTCAATATTCATGCGTCTCTTTGACAGAGGTCTTAATTTTCTTTCAGAAAAAATGTCATCAAAAAATCTTTGTAATTAATGGATTACGGCTTTGCTTCATCAACAGATAAAATGTACATTAGTAAAAAGACTAGAATTTCTGACAACGGACTAAAACCATCGGGGGAATTCCGTAATTATAATTTTTGGTATTTTCACTACAGTTGTGCTTCAAAAGTATTTTTCCAAGTTTAACAACCGAAAAATAATGTTCCACCATGCGGTATCTGCAAAGCAAATTGGGAAAAATAGGTCGAAAATACAATACGGTCGAAAATAGGATACGAGACGATATATAGCTTTATTTGTATTAATAATTTTAATAATAAAAATAGAACATGGACATGAAAACGTGTCTTTTAAATATTATCAAACATGATAAAGTACTGTAAAGTACATATACATGTACAACTGTACAAGTTGAAATTCTGTCAGTCTATGATTCGATTAAATTAATGCGGGAAACGCCTGTCACTTAAAACAGTTTACATAACATTAATTTTAATTCTATATACCTTAAATATTTAGCTGTAGTATCAGCCTCCTTGGGCAAGGCTAACGCCAAAGAAAGAAGATGTTTACGTTTGCTCATCGCTGACTTTCCCACGTTTCTTTTGAAAATGAAAGTAAGCCTCGATTGTTTTTACCTCTTTCACAGAAGAGTTCCACACAAGTCCAAACTATCAAGTAATCAAACACGCTAAGTAGGAGAAAGCCATGAGCCGACAAGAGTCGATTTTGAAATAAAACAACGTGCATATTGCTGTGATTTGCTACAAATATGGCATCCATAACCCAACAAGTGAATTACCTTCTGGCCTCTGGGCAGTATCACACTATTTTGTCCATCATCAAAGGTTTTAGAAATGGGGCAGTGTAAGTAAAAGCAAAATACAAATGTAAGTTTTTCCAGTGTTTACAAGTGTCAACAAGTGGTCGATTTTTAATACAATGAATCAGCTGTACGGACTCTGTCGCCTGTCGGTTACATTAACATGCAGGGTTGTTTCTAAGAATTGAAATAACAGGTGACTTCAAGAAAGTAGAAGGGGGTCTGGGGTTTGATCCTCCCTAAAGAGGGGGTTGGGGTGCAATACCAAAATGAATGGGGTATTATATCAATTTGTTTAGAAAAACTCCCTGGCCCGAGGGCTTGAGGGAAAACTCTGTACATATCTTTTTTTTTAAATGTAAGTTAGAACATGTGGAATTAGAGAATGTCATACAGCTGAGCCCTTTTAAAATAGCCCTTGGGCTATTACATTTAATTCTCCAATTGAAATGTAACTGGAAAGGGGAAAAATGAACCAGAGTGTGATTCAAACTCATATGCCCTGTGAGCTGTGAGTCATTTTAAGTGCTCTAGCTACCAAATGAGTTATGTGGTTATGCAATATGCAGCTAAATAAATATAAGATACATCATGTTACTGTCTCAAAATATAAGGTATATTTGGGCGAGGGTAAGAGAACATGACAGAGAACAAGGCTTACAGAACCCTCCATCATGTTTTTGACATGAGCCCAAAAATAACTTACATTTCAAAGCAGTAATCATGTATTTTGTTTATCCTGCAACATATCTGACATCCAAAACAACCTATTTTGGACCTGAATTAGGCACATCTCTGCAGTTAAATCCAAGATGCAAAAGCAAAAACAATGCAATGTACATGACATCATAGCTGCAGATCTGTAACTCTCCCCCAAAAAATATATTGACAGTTGCCAGTCTGTCAATATATTTTTTTTCTGTGAGATACAGATCTACAGCTAGGATAAAATATGTCTGACTGCCATTTTTTTTCTTTCAACTACGGTAAAACATTCACCCCAAAAGTTACCAACCAAGGCTTTTCCCTGACATGTCTTTCACCAATCACAATATAGCAAATTGCAGAGCACCAACTGTAACATGTCTGGAGGGGGGGGGGGAATGTGACAGATCAATTACCAGACCAGAATTATTGAAACCGGGCCCTTTCTAACAAAAAAACTAATGACTAAGACTAAAGTGTAATTTTGAGAATAATTTTTAGCCCACCTCGACAAAGTCAAGATGTCTGATGAGCTTATGCTATACCCTTGTGAAATGATATACTTTGTGTACAATATTTGTTCAACTTGCTACAAGGTCATCGCAGAAAAACATTTTAATATTTTTCAAAAATATGAAATTGAATAGTGAAGCATGCAATAGCTTTTTCCTATAACAAAATATTTTTTTCTCTGTAGGTATGGTGCCAAAATCAGATTTCCCCATGCCCTAGTGATGACTCTCCTTTTCAGAAGAGGAAGGTAATTAGTTAAATATTAATTAATTTCAAATAACTTCACCAGTTTCATCATGTATGAAATCAACCAATTTTTCTCTCTAAATAGAATAGACTGGTTAATAAATTATCCTTTTATCAACAATTGATATACCCGGGTAATATATTTTACAAAGGTTTAACATTGATTTCATTTGAATTTAATTGCAGTTTTAAAGAAATGACCCAGGGCATATTAGAAGCCACCTTCACACATTCCAAAAACCTGGCCTGTTTTGTGGTGGCCTATAAGACCTTAACCAATATACTGGCCTGGCTGGAAACCCACGAGAAACAGTACCAGTCCTTTATAGCGGCCTTTACAGGGGGATACTTTGTATTCGGAAAATACAACAAAGTTAACGAACAGGTATGTAAAATGCTGCTGATGCTTAAGGGATTTATAATGTAAAATGATATGCTACTGAATAATTTCAATGTCTGAAGGTGCGTCTTTGATTGTCAAAGGTTTCCAGTCCAAAATCTAGTTAATTTCGGATTGGATACCCTTGAATAGGGAACGTGTATCAGAACAGAAAGCTCAGTACAAGTAATGTTCAATCATGTAATGAAATGTTTACTCACTTGACTGCTTGAAGTCATTCTGTATGTTTTCACTACACTCTTTTTATATTCAATTAGTTAGCAATGAAGGGGAACAACTGTGTATAAGTATTATTAGACAATGTGCTTATCTTTCCAATACATAATCAATGCCATACATGATGATTTTTTTTTATAATTATGTATATATAATTATTAGACGATATATCCTGTGACAGATGAGTCACTATAGACTTGTGTACAGTGTAAATTGATTTACCGTAATTATTAATCTAAGAGGTCATTGGTATTCCATTTTGGTGTGAAAATTTAAACCTCACAGTTATTAGAATACTCATATTTCACTAAATTATGGTGATGCATTTAATTATATGCTTATTCAATCTTGTTTCCTTATGTAAAAAAAAAAATGAATTCATTGTAATTTGTAATTGTAATAAAACGAATGCATTAAGTATGATAATAAGAATATACATTTAAACTGCAGATCAACCTGTACTTGTTGTCCCGAATTCTCTACGGCCTTGCCAAGTTATCAGTAAAGCGTGGGTACATTCCGGCTCCCAAGGCACCTGTGTTCCCCTGGTTTGCGGCCATCGTGTGGGGAATTGTGTTGTGGTTATTTGAATATGAACGGGATACCCTACAACCTTCTCTGAAGTCCTCTATGACTTATCTCTATCATGACAGTAATAGATGGAATAGCTTTAAGAATTTCCTTATATATAACAAATAATTAGATCAGCCTGTTTTATAAAACTATTTAATGCAGATTATAATCAAGTATATATTTTTTTTTCCTAATTAGGCCTTATGATTTTGATTTTGTTAACTTATGTTCCAAGTATTGCATTTATATCCTAGCTGTCCAATTAAATCTCAAAAAAATGTCATATGAAACAAAAAAGAAAAAAAAAAGATAGAGATGGGTGTATAAATTAAGTACTAAACAGTAAGGCTTTAATTATCAATTATTTGCCAGCATATAATTACCATGTATATTGAATGTAGGACCAATTATATGATTACGATGCTTCATAAACTTTATGGTTAAACATTATGGAAACAATTGAACAATGTTATATTTTCAAATTGAATCACTTTTATGTATTTATTCCTTCATATATCAGGAGCAGCTTAACAAAATTTATTTATTTATTAAGTGTGGTTGAGATTCTTTTACCTTCAACCTGAAAGTCAGTCTGTAATTATATGTACACATTTACAGTGTAACATTTCAAAGATAATAATTTCATGTTTGTATACAATTTTTTGTCAACCATTATCAGTTATTTTAAAAATATGTACCAAAAATTTATTCATGTATATTTATATATTAATTAAGCTGTCATTGACTGTATAAGGTTGTTTGAGGCTTGATAAGTGTACATATAACTCTGATATATTTAAAATTAAAACATGTAATTACATGCAATGTTGCTGCAGATGTCAGTATGGTTATTTAATGATATAGATTGATCTTTTGATCATCGTCTGATACATGTAGCAGCAGTAAAATTAAATATGTAAAGAATGATAACTTGTTGAACCAATGATATGTATTTATTCTGAAAATGCATAGATTAATGTGTGGCTTTTCCTCATATCATCCTAGTGTAGATGTTTGGGCTATACTGACAGTGGATATTTGCCTGGGAACATGCCCATTAAGCTTTGTGGTAGAGCACCTGACTTGTAATACAGGGAGGGGTCTTGGGTTCGATTCTCAATCCAGCTATGTTTTATTATGGATTCCTTATTTCCAATACATTTTAGTGGCCAGAAGGGGGGGGGAGTGGCTTCTTCAGGTTATGAGTAAATTAGTAAGTCCCAACAGGGCCTGTGATCTTGTGTTTTCAAGGTCAAAGACTATGAAGGGAGGGAGGAATGGATGGTCCAGGCTACAGGGGATATCAGCCTGGGTAGCTCAGTGGTAAAACACCTGACTGGGGTCCAAGGTTCAATTCTGGTCCAGCAATATCTTTTCTATGTAAAATTTCCCCTTTCCTACTACACTTGCATGAGAGCTCAACATATTTTTCTGATATTATTGACTTATTGTATTGCAATAATTATTTTTTTTTTATTTGAAGTTGAACATTACTGAAAAGAATTAATCACAATTGAAGGTTTTCAAAGTTTGTGTTGTTTGTGAGAAATAGTTATTAATAGATATTTTTGCCTGTCATCCATTTTTCATCCTCACAGCATCTGGGGTTCTTAGTCTTCTTTGGAAAAAACAATTAGAAATTGTAATTTCCCTGAAATCACTGCAGTCAGCCAGTTAAAATTAGGGATCCAACAGCCCTGAGTGGACTTATGACCCCTGATGTTTTGAGGATGTTAAATTCTGTATTCAGTTTCATTTCAATATCTTATTTCTTTTACTTTATTGTTTAAAAATAACGTCATTTTGAATTTCACTGCTTTAATAAATTTGATAAAAGTTGGATAAATTGTAAGGGGAAAAAAAGAAGAATGAATTTGTATATAACATTGATGTTGCATGTGTATTTCTTTTAGGAATGTAAGCTGATACAATTGTCTTAATACAATTTTTATTGCCCTTTAAAGCAGAATCTTATGCACAGTTGATACATCTATCAGATACATGCATATGTACTGGTACTCAGAATAGTCCTTCTCATTTCCAGGAAAACAATTCCTAATCATCTGGTTCCATGTTACCTATCCACTTCCTTGCAGCATAAGCTACCTCATATTCTCTCTGCATTCAACCATATTTTTATGTAATATGGTTATTTTTTATTTTTATTCGTCCTCAGGATCTGGTTCCGGTTCGGGTTCCTCTTCTGGTTCAGGTTCAGGCTCCTCTTCTGGTTCAGGTTCCTCTTCTGGTTCAGGTTCAGGCTTCTCTTCTGGTTCAGGTTCCTCTTCTGGTTCAGGTTCAGACTCCTCTTCTGGTTCAGGTTCAGGCTCCTCTTCTAGTTCAGGTTCAGGCTCCTCTTCTAGTTCAGGTTCCTCTTCTGGTTCAGGTTCAGGCTCCTCTTCTGGTTCAGGTTCAGGCTCTTCTTCTGGTTCAGGTTCCTCTTCTGGTTCAGGTTCAGCATCCTCCTCTGGCTCAGGTTCAGGTTCCTCTTCTGGTTCAGGTTCAGCATCCTCCTCTGGCTCAGGTTCAGCCTCTTCTTCTGGTTCAGGTTCAGGTTCCTCTTCTGGTTCAGGATCCTGCACCTCTTCTGGTTCTTTCTCTAGTGATCTTGTAGGTTCATCTTCAGGTTTTGGTTCCTCTTCGGCTTCATGTTCTGGCAAAGGCTCCTCTGACTCTTCGTCTTTAGATTCTTCTTGATCAAAATTTTCATCACTTGATGAACTTGATGAATCACTGCTGGGTGAAGATGTGTCTGAATCCTTTTCACTACTTTCTTTCTCTTTGTCAGAACCTTTCTCAAATGCATCTTCTTCTTTTGCATCTTTATTTTCAGAGTGAGATTCCTCTTCAGATTTTTCTTCAGTTTTTGAATCTGACGACTTTCTAGATCCTGTTTCGGCTGCTTCAGGATTGTCGTTTTCAACTGTATTTTTGTTATTTACCTCAAGATCTTTCTCACTGAGGTTTACAGATTCTATTTCTACTGCGAAAGCATCAGGGGTGGGTGAGTCTTTATCCGAGTCCTCGGAATCGGAGGTACTCGCCCAACTGCTTATAATAGAGGATATAATGCTACCAGTGCTCTTGGTTCGATGAATCTTCTTATGAATTTTCTTTTTCTTCCTTTTCTTTATTTTCACTTTTGCTTCTGCAACATTTGTGTCGTCTGCAAAAGTAAAGATACAAAGGAAGGCACTAACGTATACTTGATTACAGAGTACGAATCAATTTTTAGCACTAGAATAGTTGATTTTGAAAAATTATACTTGTCTTATGACGAACGTCGGATTCTGCGGGGATATCAGTACATAGCAGTATTACCAATACAATCAGGGCTGAACCAATGAGGGCAAATAAGGCGTAGGATATTCGGAAATCCTCTACGTGTTCCGTTGCTTGAAGAGATCGAGCTAGCGCACCTGCAGTGAAAGAAATGAAACTGAAAATTAACAAACACATATTTTAGTGTCCCTTTCCTATGTTTTACTCTTGGTGCTGTTCGATTTCATTGATTAATTCTGTATGCAGATTTTTGTCAGTCCTTCTATTTTTTTTGTAAGCAAATTAATGTTTCATATAGAAAAGTGTATATAACTTTTTTTGGAAAATGTGGCCTATTGAACGAGAATACGATATTCAAGGGATTAGACAATTAAAATAATGAGCGTTTTTCTTCTTTAATATTGGGCCCGAAACGCAAGTCTTCAATTATCGCGCATATCAATGAAATATAAATTATGGAGATAACGAACAGTATTCAAACTCAGAAGTCAATAAAACAATACATAACTGGAGCAGAGCAAACACGGACCTCCAAAAAATCAGAGGTGCGATCAGGTGTCATGGAGGAGTAAGCATCCCCTGCCGTCAGATCACACCTGCCGTTTGATCCTTGTTATGATAGGGAAATAACGGGGAAATCCGTTGACAATTCCGGGTGTATATTATGGCCTAATAATCAGTATGAAAAAAGTCAGCCATCATCTGACTTAGTGATGAATTGTATTTGCTGACAAGGTCATTATATCGAACATAGAACATACGATATGATTACTTTAAACGAGACTGCGTGCTGAACGTCTTTGTATAAAAAAAAACAGCACACATACATAGATATTGTCAATCAGAAACTCAATATATTTAATTTATTCTTTCAATATGTTACAAGATGCATGTACATGTTATAAGGAAGGTATACGACATAGATATGGATAAGTTATCAGATTTGAAATAGATAGTTCATCGAACATGATAGGATTTATCTGTTCCGGGAAATCAATGCGGAAACTATTGAACTTTATCAATTCGTATATCATAGATAATTTAGTTGAACAGCCCTACATTAATTGTGTAAGCTGCTAGATTTTTTTTTCATGTAAATGAAATGAAGTAATAATCATTGCGCATCATTATAAAATCTTATAACATCTGCGAAAAAGTTATTTTAACTTGTGCCAAAGAATTAGTATCAATTTAATATTGGTCATTTATTTATTAAATTACTGACATTAATACATTGTTATGAGTGACTATATAATGATTAACTCTTGTGTTTCTTGCTTCTACTGAAAGAAGACCATATATATTTCATTTATTTTAAAAAACGAATGTATGAATCCATTGCCCAATGTTATTTTTGGAAAACAAAGAACATTTGTAGGCCAAATCATCGGGTCGTTGCTCCAGACAATAAGATCTGATATTGGATTTAGTCAGTAATTATGTTCCCCAAACGGAGTTTGGGAACATATTGTTTTTACTCGGTTTCTTATTATTATTATTTTTTTTCTTTTGACCTAAAACCTTTTTAGTAATTAAAAAAAAAAGTTTTTCAACCTGCTTTTCTGAACGAATATTTATTTATAGAGCTACTTTTGGTGCATCATCTCCAGTCCTTTAAAAATCGGATTCTCCTTAGAATCATTGCAAAGATATATCTAACACATTCCCTATCATACATATAATCACAAAAACAAAATTATTGGAAATTAGCTCTCAGTTGGAATTAACTTTGGACTACTTTTCTAGATCTTCCCCTCCCTCCCTCTATAACAAATAAATACGAATACATGTACACTGTAGCTGCATAGTTTTGGCAAATTTTTGGGGGAGGGGAACCTTTTATTGAATGATTATTCAGTATATACACTGTATGATACAATCTAGATTTAAAGTCGTAGATTAAAGGTCACAGTCCATTTTTCATGTTCGACGGTATGTTTAACTCAAGGTCTTTCACAAAATTCATGGTCTCTTGAGTTGTTGGAAGAACAGAAACTTTTTTAATTACTGCTTACATGTACACATATTATGTAATATATATTTTAAAATATGAGTAAATTAATGACAAGCACACGTATGAATAGAAGGGGGTATCTGGCATGAGCTTTGCTGAAAAGACACCCCACCCCACCCTCACCCCTAGTTTTCTTTTGCTCAAAAAATAGGAAGTATAATTGAACAATGGAAGGTGGTTTCTTGACACACACCTGTATTTTAAAGTCGACGCTGTCCTGCGGGCATCGTAACACTCATCTATTTAAACTAAATGTGGCCTTGGTTTACGTTCATTTCTTTAAAATACGTTGTATTCCGATAAATTGCTGAGCACTTCAGTTGCCAAATGGAAAAGGTTGACAGCTCCGAGGAGTATACAAAAAATATCTTCTCTAAAAATAAATTGGCTTCTAGTGTGTATTGCTGTAAATTTCGACAATCTGGACGCGTGATTTGTTCAAACTATTTATCTTTTTGAAAGTAAATCTGTGCCAAATTTGTTTTTAAAACACAATTTTTGGAACATTTGGATGATTAAAATGAATATTTTAATATGATTTTACTCTGAAAGACAAAAACCATCCTATTGTGTAAGTATGCATGAACTTGAATACTGGCCATGAAAACTATTTGCAGATACCCCACCCCCAGCCCGCCTTTCTCTCTTCCTTTCTGTAAATGAAATATACATGTAGTTGTTTGACATGTTTGATGCATGTGCAATACATGTATATCATAATCAGCTGTAGATAATACATCATTTTGACACTTCGTGGTTTTAAATCATATATACATATGCGATATTTACAGATGGAAATTGACAACTGGAAACTCGTAAAACACATAAATCTGGCTCAATGTTTCAAACAGCTGTCTATATAAACAAAACCCTCCTTATAAAATCATGACTAAATTTTTTTCCTTACCTTTGAGGTGATAAAACACGGCTAATATCTTCAGGACTTCCATACTTAATATATGCTACATGTAGCTCGTGTATTATGTTACTGTGTTAGTAAACACACACGGATCATTGCACCATCGGTATGTCAGCGGCTAGCATCGCATTCAGGTCAAGTATACATGAGTAAAAAAAAAAATCATTGTCCATTTAAACTTATTTTCCCTTCTGATAGACATTTTAAGCCAAAATTAATTATCTCTAATAAAAAGACATTTAAACATCCAATAGCACCTAATTTCTATTATTACGTTTTTATTAGAATTGTCGGCTACATTTCTTATACATAGCCAGAATAATTATGGAAGTAACCCTGCGATGCTCGAAATTTGTTTACCTTACTAACTTGTATACAATTATCCCACAAACCTATATAGACTAGAGCGAACGGAAAGTTTCTGTATATACATGTGTGTTATATTAAGAGAAAGAAGTTCCTCGAGGTTAAAAAAAATAAAAATATACATTTAAAAGCATATCCCCCGAAAATAAAATGTCCGAAACACCCATATAGTGAAACATGACGCATACTCATTAATACATTTGTACTGATATGCAATCGGAAGGTTAGAGTACATTTTCCCCCATATCATTGACATGCACTAAAGTACATCTATCATATGCGTATATGCATTTCAATATTTATATCAATCGCAGCATCAAAACCAATAATCTTCCATATGGCATTGCATGTACTTCTAATCTACGGCTGAGAATATTATGTTTAACAAAGTTTTATTTTTGGTTGATGCATTAAAGAGAGATCGAGAGAGAGAGAGAGAGAGAGATTAACCATTCAACGTGCCATTATCCAGTGATAGAAGTAAAATTAATATAAAATGATCGGAGAGACACGTGCCATATGTTGAAATTAAGGAGGGAGAAGTCCAATCTCAGAATGGAATCCTTGTTCTGTCGGACACAGAGGGGTTCATTACTAACTCTCTGTAACTACACACCCTACAAACTCATTCATATACCTCCAAGATAAGACCCTGTTTTCTATCAAAAAGTTCTATGTATCGTGACAGATTGTAGAATGTGGCCATTTTTCTCTTTTCTCTCTCTGGTTTTGAAAAGTTGATGATTGGTTAAAGATCTGTAAATTAGCTTGTCTTGGAGATTGTATAGCTTTCAGGTAAGTTGAAGAATTCTGTAAATTCAAAACTTTATTCAATGTTTATTGGTTCCCATTGAATTTATTTATGATGCCTTCCTTATACGTTGCTAGAAGTTTTGAAAGAAATTTTGAAAGGAAAAAATATAAGCAATTTAATAACACATGCATTTAAAAAATAAAAGTAGTTTGCATGTGATGCATCATGCATAGGACATACAAGGGTCTTGCATGTATCTTGAATACACTTGCAAGGTTTACTCAATTAAATACAGCTTAGTTTTATTCATAATACCTATGCATTGAAAAGTGCAAAATATATAAGTAAACTCTAAAGATTGAAAGATAAGCTGACGAAAATTGAACATCGCTGGGTCGTTAATAAGTTATAACAATTAAAAAAAAACACGTAAACAGTACATTCATTGTTATTTTAAGATATTTTATTGTTGTTTCAATCATATTACAAAAAGTATTGAAAATGTCTCAAATTGGCCCCTCAGTTTTTGCACATTTCTAATACAAGTAAAACATCCTCATATACCTTTTTCCAATGGAAGGTTCAAGTGCAATACATTCTTTTTTTTTTTAACAAATAGGGTTTAATCGTACATATTTCACGGTTTAAAAAAAAGCACAGATCTCATGATATACACCTTTAATAAGACCCAATCAGTTTAAAATGAGATTCTTGAAAATAAAACATAACTAAGTTCTTAAATAAATTCGTGCATGATTGTGCATTTATAGAAATGAAAGCAAAAATGTAATGAAATGAAAAGAAATATTACTTTCATTTTGAAATAGAGACGAGGAATAAACTTTGATATTTTTATGAAAAAATATGACTCTGTGCGAAATCTTAACTCATACAATTAAAAAATACTTTTACTAAAATTATATGAATTATTAATGTTAAAAAAAAATGAAACATAGAGATAACGAACAGTATTTAAGCTCAAAAGCCAATTGAAATGAAACAAAAAAAAAGGGGGCAGAGCAAATACGGACCTCTAAAACATCAGACATTAGATCAGATACTATAGAGGGGTATAAGCATTCCCTGTCAACCGGTCATACCGGACAAACGGAAAAATCTGTAGATAATTCATTGTGTAAGTACGAAAGCCGGATAGGCTCATTTCTGATAAGATAAAAAAATATTTAACTCGTTATAACGAGTTAATTATCTCGTTATAACGACTTAGTTATCTCGTTATAACGAGTTAGTATCTCGTTATTACGAGATAATTATCGCGTTATAACGAGTTAATTATCTCGTTATAACGACTTAGTTTTATCTCGTTATTACGAATTACTTATCTCGTTATAACGAGTTAGTATCTCGTTATAACGAGTTAGTTTTCTCAGTTAATTATCTCGTTATAACGAGTTAATTATCTCGTTATAACGACTTAGTTATCTCGTTATAACGAATTAGTTATCTCGTTATAACGATTTAGTTATCTCGTTATAACGAGTAAATTAACTCGTTATAACGAGTTAGTATCTCGTTATAACGAGTTAATTATATTGTTATAACGAGTTAGTTATCTCGTTATAACGACTTAGTTATCTCGATATAACGAGTTAGTTATCTCGTTATAACGAGTTAATTATCTCGTTATAACGAATGGAGTTAATTATCTCGCTATAACGAATTAATTATCTCGTTATAACGAGTTAGTTATCTCGTTATAACGAATTAATTATCTCGTTATAACGAGTTAATCAACTCGTAATAACGAGTTAATTAACTCGTTATAACGAGTTAATTAACTCGATATAACGAGTTAGTTATGAATTAAAAATGGCTGTAGTTTTAATGCCATTGATGTTTAGTTGATAATTATCAATCATACTTCACTTTAAAATTGATAAAAAGTTGCAATTTTAATTTGCGATATGGTTTAAAAGACACTAATTTTTCTGATATGTTTTGGATGACTTATTAGCTTTCATAACCAATGTCTTAGTACCTAAATTAATACTTCATAATAGGAAGCTAACGCAGGCGTTAATGCAACATATATTATATACACTTACAGTGTGATATATATTATTTTGAGAGTCAGAAATGTTTGAAGAAGGGGGATATGGAGACATCAGCAATGAGGCCATGGGTGTAAAATTCGGGGGCTACTGACCACTCATAACACAACATCAAGAGGCAGTCATAAGTTTCCGTATACATGTACATGTATTTGTCTCCGGTCTTTTAAGTATACAATACACATCAACTGCATCGTTTATACATAAACAGAATACAATCACAGGCACAACCCCTCGAAAAAAAAACTAGTTTGCTGTTTTTCAATAAAAATCTTTATCATACACACTATAAACAAACTTAACAAACTCGGTTTTATATGCTATACTACGAAAGCCATGAAGGGACACGTTGATTTTTCAAAAAAGTAAAAATTAATTTGAGATCTCGAATTACACAATCCGTTCCCACAGATTACCTTTTCGTTCCCTCGATTTATAATTCTAGATCTCGAAATACACAATCCGTTCCCATGGATTATCAATTCGTTCTCACAGATTATCAATTCGTTACCTCAAAAAACACTAATCCGTTATCTTGGATTGTAATTCATTCTCTCAGTTTAAACAATTCGTTCCCTCGGAATGTAAACTCTTCTCACGATTCCATTGATATCAGCTGTCTGTACATATCGGATATGGCAATACGTGTTTAATGAATAGAATACTGTAGGTGTTTAGATCCTACCTTTTAATACATATTACGGTCCAAAATGAGAAAATAGCATGAACCTGACTCAAATCTATATTCTAGTACTGATAATAATATGGTAATAAAATATACGTTGAATTAGTTATAAAAGAGGTTCGGAACGACCGCGTTTGCTGAAACAAAATACATAAATCGCATTAATTGATTCAAATAGTTTGATTTGAATGTATACAACATTACATAATTATATACATATATACATGTAATAAATTCGCGAGCACTGATTGCCAAAATCATAAGACTGATGTTACAAATCGAGATCTCGAAATATTAATCCGTGGGATCGGATTGTGTAATTCGAGATCTCGAATTATAAACCGAGAGAACGAGTTGATAATCAGTGGGATCGAAATGTGTAATTCGAGATCTCGAATTATAAACCGAGGGAACGAATTGATAATCCGTGGGATCGAAATGTGTAATTCGAGATCTCGAATTAGAAACCGAGGGAACGAATTGATAATCCATGGGAACGGATTGTGTAATTTGAGATCTCAAATTAATTTTTACTTTTTTGAAAAATCAACATGTCCCTTCATGGCTTTCGTACTATACTACTATACTTCTATCACTTAGATATATCAACTTTAGATCAGTTTTAACTCGTTATAACGAGAAAATTAACTCGTTATAACGAGAAAAATTAACTCGTTATAACGAGTTAATTTTCTCGTTATAACGAGATAATTAACTCGTTATAACGAGATAACTAACTCGTTATAACGAGATAACTAAGTCGTTATAACGAGATAACTAACTCGTTATAACGAGATAATTAACTCGTTATAACGAGATAACTAATTCGTTATAACGAGATAACTAAGTCGTTATAACGAGATAACTAAGTCGTTATAACGAGATACTAACTCGTTATAACGAGATAATTAACTCGTTATAACGAGTTAAATTTTTTTTATCTTCTCAGAAATGAGCCTATCCGGCTTTCGTATGTAAGAAATGGTCTATCAATTGGTAAAAAAAAAACGTTGGACAGCATTTGGATTAATGTAAGATTGTATTTGCGGACAAGGTCATAGCATCGACCATAGAACTTGCAAAATGATTATTTCAGAGTAAACTGTTGAAGTCTTCAGCAACTTGTTTGTCCAGGGTGTGCCTTGTTTTGGGAATTGTTCATACTTAGAATTTACTCTTTTGAG